ATCGAGACAAGCGATTGGTTCAGAAAGGGCAAGAGACACTGTCGGTTCCAAAACAAGATCGATTCGGCAAGAAAGTCATGTTGTGCTTTTGGTGGAACTTTGAAGGAATCGTGCATTTTGAGTTGGTTCCGAATGGTCGTGCCATCAGCGCCGAACTTTACTGTCAGCAACTGGAGCAGGTCTACGAAAAGTTGAAGCAAATGTATCCGGCTCTGATGAACAGAAAGCGCGCTTTGATGCAGCAAGACAATGCCAAGCCACACACCGCCAAGAAGACCAAAGACAAGTTTGAAGAGCTGGACGGCGTTGAGGTTCTGCCACATCCAGCCTACAGTCCTGACTGTGCTCCATCAGATTACGGCTTTTTCCGCTCAATGCAACACTTTCTGAAGGGCCGCCGATTTGACTCGTTCGATGAAGTCGAGGAAGCGTGTCAAGAATTCTTTGATTCGAAACCGGCTGAATGGTGCTTTCACCAGATCCGAAAGCTTGCAAATCGATGGCAAAAAGTCTTGGAAAATGATGGTCTTTATTTTGAGGAATAATTTCTGTTGTTTTTGTTATTACTTGATGAGTGAAACTTCAATTTTTTGCAAGTGTTTACGAACTTTTGGGACAACCTAATATTAACAAAAAAAAGTCTTTAAAATTCACACGTTTTGACATATTTTTTCCATTTATCATTCTATTAATCAGTAATATTAAAATGATATTAACCCATCTTCCAAGTTTTGCATCATTAATCTTTTATGGGACGTGTTCTATCTGAACGCGAGTAACCGGTGCGCTTCATAAATCCTTATTATTTGTAGAGATAAGTAATATATTTTTCTTCCTATCACTACAAACAATGTACAGCCCTTCATTTACACGACTAATTAGGGAGGTTAATATCTATGTCCCTCTATGTTTGTTGCTTTCAGTAAGTCTGAGATGATAATTCCCTAAGATTTATTAACATAGTATGTGCCCAAGAAAATCAACTGGTTCTTCCTGAAACTACTGCTCTTTTTGTTTCCATAAAGCATTCCTTGTTGCTAAAAGTTATTCCGTCCATCGCATTTTCAGCAGCCTTTCTTAGAGTCAAATCATTGTAGCCTGTTCTCTAATTTTGGAAATTGCATGACATTCATTGCCATATAGAAGCATTGAAATTGCATAATGGTCTCGCACTCTCTTATGCTCCTAGCAAAAATTTCCTGATGTTTTTACAGTGGTTATTTTTATATTATTTTGGAAAGCATATTTCTTTTGTTTATTCTGCCACTGAGAGATTTAATGGTATCCCCGTAAGAATACATAAAATTGCATAAAAAAATATCTCTTTTAGATGAATATTTGAATCATGAGTTCACAGTAGGAACAGTTTTACAAGATTTTCATAATTGAAGAATATTCTATGCAAATATTTAGCATGTTCTGCTTTTTTTATTTTATTTTTATTTTCTTTAGAATATTTGTTGATTTATGCAAGGCTTTAATGATTATAATGGGTTTTACACGAAACGAAACAAAAAAATATATCAAAAGAAAAATCAAATTATAATGAAATTAATGATGCTTCTTTTAAATGACTTATTTCATTTTTTTCTACCTTTTATATCGAATAAATGCAGCTGATTTCCACCTGCTTTCTCGGGAATTTCGCTTGACCAAAACGAATCCATTATCAGTTTGCGTGTTATCATGTTCAATCGACTCTCACCTTATCTCCCTCTCTTTCTTTTTCTCTTTCTCTCTCTCTCTCTCTCTCTCGATATATATATATATATATATATATATATATATATATATATATATATATATATCACTTTCACCTCTACAAGAGGCCCAGAAGTTAGTAAATCACCATTTTTAAGGCCACATACCTATGTTGTCATCTGCGCCAGTAATTATTCAATAATTTGCTCTATTTTGATATATTTATATATGAAGCAAAAGTACCCGGCTCTGATCAACAGAAAGCGCGCTTTGTTGCAGCAGGACAATGCCAAGCCACACACCGCCAGGAATACCAAAGACAAGTTTTTGAAGAGCTGGACGGCGTTGAGGTTCTGCCACATCCAGCCTACAGTCCTGACTGTGCTCCATCAGATTACGGCTTTTTCCGCTCACTGCAACACTTTCTGAAGGGCCGCCGATTTGACTCGTTCGATGAAGTCGAGGAAGCGTGTCAAGAATTCTTTGATTCGAAACCGGCTGAATGGTACTCTCACCAGATCCGAAAGCTTGCAGATCGATGGCAGAAAGTCTTGGAAAATAATGTTCTTTATTTTGAGGAATAATTTCTGTTGTTTTTCTTATTACTTGATGAATGAAATTTCAATTTTTTGCAAGTGTTTACGAACTTTTGGGGCAACCTAATATTAACAAAAAAGTCTTTAAAATTCACACGTTTTGACATATTTTTCCACTTATCATTCTATTAATCAGTAATATTAAAATGATATTAACCCATCTTCCAAGTTTTGCATCATTAATCTTTTATGGGACGTGTTCTATCTGAACGCGCGTAACCGCTGCGCTACATAAATCCTCTCTCTCTCTTTCTTTCTCTCTCTCTCTCTCTCTCTCTCTCTCTATATATATATATATATATATATATATATAATCACTTTCACCTCTACAAGAGGCCCAGAAGTTAGTAAATCACCATTTTTAATGCCACATACCTATGATGTCATCTGCGCCAGTAATTATTCAATATTTTACTCTATTTTGATATATTTTTTTTTATAATCAGATCAATCACTCGTTATTGTTGCCTCTCGCAACACTAATTGCCGTAGTTGTATTTATTCTGGGTTTGATATTATTTAAACTTATATAATCATGCACGAATTTTTAATTTGTAAACGTTGTATTCATAATAATTTAATATATTTTGTAACTTCCTGTTTTAATATATTTTATCTTAACCAAGGATAAGATTGTAATATATATTTGCTCCTCTACCAAACTCACTTGACTTTAATTAGGATCACAAATTGTCAAATATTTATATAAGAACTCAGTGCTCACTTTATTATGAGTCTTCTCCTATTACCTGTTTTCTCTTACTTCTAGAATTGGAAAGCAGTGGTGCCACCTACCCTGAATCCATCATAAACATTCAGGAAGGGTAATTAGTGAACACTAATTACTTCGGATGTCTTGGTGTATGGATCATTCATAATGGATTTAGGAAATATATAGACTGCACAAGTGATAGTTCCGTACAGCGCCGCAAATTGCTAAAAAATATATCAACCTGAAAACTTGAGTCAAGTTCTTAAATAAACCTCCTCATATCGAGACTTTTATATGTATGACAAGCACGGCGCCAAATCTTTTCAGAAATATGTAAAGTGTTAGATGCATAAAACCACACTGCAGATCAATTACTAAGAATGCTATTTAAAAAATTGTGTATGTTACTTTACTAAATTTGTGAATTGGCGATACAGCATCACAAACGAAGCACAGTATCAGATAAAGGAAATTACGTCATTTAATAGATTTCAGGAACAGCAACATCTAAGTCGGATATTACATGTAACAAGAAGAGAAAATAATGATATAACCCACTCATTACTGGAAAGAGCAATAACTGTTTCTGGATTTTAGAAACCTATTTTCTAGAAAAATTATTTTAAGAGGAAGATTTTCGAAATTCCAATTGAGTGTAGTCTTTTCTGATGGCTCAATAAATGCCGAATATTTCCTTAAAATGGCTAATATTAACATTACCTTTAGACCTAATACAATTAATATTGGTATTGATTCACCGATGTTTTGGAACAAATGTTTCGAACTTTGTCTCCATGCTATTTTTATGGCATATCGCATCTCTTCCCGATCGATTCATTACACATCTAGGATTAGAATCCATCTCTGAAATTTATTCTAAAGCATTCACATTTTGTCACTGTAGTTTTTTATGCTGGGATTGGACGCTAGATGAGGGTAGTTTTAAAATAAAGCACTTGGTCAACCATAATACCTAGTTAGGCTACACATTTCAATGATCGCTAAATGTTATCAATTGTTCAAATGTAAATCTAGAATATAATCCCATGCTATTACAGCAATACCGCAGGCCTGTTATATTGACAAAACCCAGAATAAATACCTATTTTTATATACTTTACACTAATTACTGGTCTTAAAATCCAATAGTCGCAACAGAAATCGAATCTCCTCTGAGCAGAAACATGTTTTTTTCCTATTATCTATTGTAAAATTTGGGGGTTTCCAAACAAATATCCGATAGGGTTCTTGAACTTATCTGACAGAGATCGGACCAATCTTGGTCTTCTGATGTTGTAGTAAATCTGCTTCAAGATTCGTCGTTTTTTCCGTCCAAGGTACTTTTTTTCTTTATACGTCCGTTGTACAGTGTGTTTATCTGAGCGACCTTTGGCTTTCTGTGAGCTAAAATATTCTGGCCTTGATTCTCCGACCATTTTGATTGGAAAATGGATTCCCGCTTCTATTGTTCCTGCTCAAAGGATTTTTTTTTCTTTATCTGACCATTCTTAACAAACTTTAAATATGGCTGGGACTGGAAATTAAAGTAGTTCAGTCTCGTTTGAAACACTCAGACCCGTCCATATGGAACGAAACATGTCGAATCTCACTGAAATCAAATGTATTTCCCATAATCATGCATGCAATGATGTGATTGATTTACAGCTTTTAAAAATTTGTCAGGTTATTTAATGGCAGAACTTTTTTTTTAGATGGTAAGGTCGTTTTATAGATAATAATTATTTGCCGGTGCTTCTAATTAAACAACAGCCACTAACTTTACACTCAGTAAAAGTCACAATAGCTAATTAAGACTAAGGGTTACCAGATGAGGTTAATGTATGGACCTACAAATTAACTAACAGCTGTTGGGTTGGGGGAGAATAGTTGTATTTAAGTGAATTTAACGAATCCCACTAGAATTGGGACACGGTACTCTGATTTCCAATTTCGAGACTTTATCCATTTCACCAGTCGCACATTCAGATTTAGTACCTGGTATTCGTAAGGGGTCACACATCTAAGTAGTAACCAAGCTCGGCGTTGCTTAACTTCGGCGATCGTACGAGAACCGGTGATTCAACATGATATGGCTGTAAGCGTCATGCATAAAATAAAATTCGCCTGATTTTCATGGTAATGATTAAATGCCTCTGTTCAATATATTACTGTTTCTTAATACTTGACTTATTTTCTCTATGGTATCTTTCGGTATCCTAATGCGACTTCAGTTTTCAATATCAGACTGTCTGTCCTCTGTTAAATACTTCTCATATATTTGATTTGTTGTACTTGCTTGATTTTGTTATCTCCATTTTGTAATTCACATTTTAAGCTGTTCCTTCTGCTAACAACCAGGCAAATGTTATTTTTGCCCTTTCTTCTTCTTTTCCTTCACGAGCTTCTGTACATGTTCTTGTAGTTTCAGTTCTGTTTCTGCTATCAACACTGTGTCATCTGCATATTTTATGTTGTCGCTATCAATAAGGGATCCTAGTAGTACTTGTAATTCTCTCAGAATCGTCGCACAGTATAGGATGAATAAATCCAGCGAGAAGAGGCATCGATGTCTTAAACCTCTTTCTACTTTTATATTTTTATTGAATTCATTTCCTGTCCGTATGCGGGCATTGCGCTGCTATTATATGAGCTGGAATATTCTGATATCCTTTCTAAATTTTTGAAGGTTATTTAGCGTTTCCAACAGTTGTTTCCGATGTACAGGGGTTGGACAAATTAATTGAAATACTTGTTAAATTCAAACAAAAATTATTTCATATGAATTTGGCCCTTCTGTAGCCTCACAAATAGCTTTAATACGACTAGAAATGGAATCATACAGCTTCCTGACTTCATCCAGAAGAATCTTAAGTTATTCCTCCAGTAAAACCTTCTCCAGCTCTTTAGGACACGACGGTGGAGGATAGCGGCTCCTAACTTGTTGCTCCAAAATGCACCACAAATGTTCAATAATATTGATATCTTGAGATTGGGGAGTCCACTCCATGTGTTCTAGCTCCCTTCCATGCTCTTCATACCAATTCTTAACCACTCGAGCGGTATGTATTGGAGCATTATCGTCTTTGAAGATGCAGTCACCATCAGGGAATAAAGTCTTGGCCATTGGATGAACATGATCTCCCAAAATGTTCAGGTAATCTTTGCTATTGATTCTACCATGCAACCATTGGACTGAGACATTTCCATGATATGGCGGCCCAAGCTATCACTGATCCACCTCCATGCTTCACTGTTGGAAGAAGGCATTCAGGGTTGTAAGCTTCTTTGGGCTGCCTCCACACATAAACTCACCCTGATATTGACTTCTTTGAGAATATGACTTGCTTCCATTGGTCTGCAGACCAGGCATTGTGATCTCTGCACCAATTCAACCTCTTTTGAATGTTGCGAGTGGAGAGATGAGGTTTCCTCACAGCGGCTCTTCCATGATATGCAAACTTATGGAGCTCACGGTGAAAAGTTTTAGTAGAAACCGAATTATTCAGATGGTTATTCAACTCAGCAGTCACTTTGGCCGCATTTGACCGATGATATTTTGCCACATTGCGTTTCAATGCACGTCAAACCCTGTCAGTAATTTTGCAAGTCCGGCCCAAATTACTACGGTTGCTAAAGGTCTTGCCCTGTTTCTTGAATTGCACCAGTGTTCTTGATATGGTAGAAACCTTAATGATCGAAGTTCCTGCCATGCAAGCTCAAACGATTTGCTCATTTTCGAATTCGGAGAGGTCACGCATTTTACTAAATTCTAAAAATTAATAAGACAAAGACAGTAAATTAGATAAATAAACGTATTTACAATAGTTATAACCTGAAATTACGAAGTTTTAAAGTTTTTAATATAATAGGTCTTTGAAATATAGGAGTGGATTTTGCAACTGTTCCAATTATTTTGTCGAAACCCTATACTTCATTAAAAGCTTTTGCACAATCTATAAACATACGTATACATCCTTTTGCATTTGTGTTGCTCTTTCTAATATAATTATAAGCATTAATATCGCTTTCTTTGTTTTGGTGCTTCTAACAGGTCCTCACCTTGTTGTCTTATTTCTGGTCTAATTCTTTTGCGTTTTCTATTAATCAAAATCCGTTTGGTATACTTTGTTTTTAGGCTCTGTTGTCTGTTGAGATTAAAATTCATTTGCACCTGGCTTCTGAAGCAGTGCTACAAAAATAGGTTTATTTATGTTTTCCTGAATATCACCACTGTTGTATATTTTATTTATTATATTCATACCCTTTTTCGATGGCAACACCAGTTAAGACTGCAAGGATATCTATTATAAACCCTCTAGTCTCGCTACTTTGTTTCTGTTCAATTTTGTCAGTATTGATTTCACTTCAGATTTTAATATTTATAGGTATGAAAATATGTTTTGTAAATTCCAATTTTATGTTACTTTAACATATATTTTGTGACTAATGTCATTGTCACATATATGATAACGATTTTTGTCTGTACGTTTTTTATAACTATGTCAGGTTTTATATAATTGTCTGTACAAATGGTAATTCCCCTCAAAACAGTGAATTCATTGCTTTCTATTTCTCATATTCATACTTGAACATGCAATGTAATATTAATATATCTTCCAATCGATACAGTATACCATCTTATCAAATCTAACTTGATGACCAACGCCAGTTTCGGAAAATGAGGCAATAAGTAGTGTATTATTATTATTATTATAATTATTATTATTATTATTATTATAATTATTATTATTATTATTATTATTATTATTATCATCATACCATAAAACTTCTTTTTTTTATTTCCTTAATTAATTAGTGCGTACGGTACGCTCTGCCAATAACTTAGAAATAATGAACTATTCCGTTTTGAACATGACGAAAAACAGAAATGACATACCTATGATGCTGTTTGTTTTGTATAAATATTCTGACTTGTTAAGCGACGCTGTGTGAGTAACTCTAAAAACTTGACACTTCCTATTTCTTCTTTTTTCTTCTTTCCTTGATACGTTTCCCCCAGGACAGTACCCTGTACAAATATACACATATATCCACACACCAGTGTATCACACCCACATACAGACGTACACAATTTGCAGTCTTTTTTGAATGTATATAAGCATACTTAATTTCTTCGTAATCCATTATTACTCATGTATAAAGTACAGGAAAATATCGCTTTGTTAGAATTTGTTCAATTCTTTTTCACCTCTACAAGATATAATAACCAGTTTTTACAAGTGTTAATTTTGTTTACCACAGCTTATAGCGCAACTAGAATCAGACTTTCCTCGGGTTTTAATGTGAAAATGAAATAAAGAAATCAAGAACGAGAAAATAGTTTTTAAGGTCTTCTACCGGGGAAAACATCATTTATAATTTCTTACTTCTTCAAAAAAAAAGCTGTATTAATAATTATATTGCATTTTGTTTAATGCTGATGAAATATTAACGTTGGAATATGCATATGTAGCCTTCAAACACCTAATGAAATTATGTATTTATTAAATATTACGTAAGATTATTCGAATAGAGAAATCGGGAAATTTTAATGGGTACTGCTAGTAAATGCTTCCCGTATAACTACCATCTTAACCCCTTCAACTGAAAACGTCGAACCTTACTTATTGTACGTAACCTCATGAACTATACTTATTTCCCCCTTTCTCCCTAAGTCAATTCACCAACTTCATCTAGGAACCCTTGACGTTGAATAGCCGTTGGGTCTTGTACTTGTTCAAAGGTTAGTTGGTGTTCTGATAGCAGTCGTATCAATACTTTATTATAATTTACACGTTTAAAAAAGTTCAGCGATTTAGCTTCTTTTATATGCTGTGTCATTGTGAGCGTAGGGGTTCACGCATCTCCACTGCGTCCCTTGTTTTTATTTTCTATGTAATTTCTTAAGTTTAAAACAAATCTTTGTCCTTGTTCTCTCATCATTTCACACGAACTTAATTTGCTTATTCACTGCATTTCCCCATGCTTCTCTGGCTTTCAATATATCATCTATGCATTAAAATATTTAGGTCCACATTACTCCTTATGTGTCAAAGAAAGCTAAACTGTCTCTTTCTGATTGTCAGTATACCTATATTCGCCGTTCCTGTTTCCTTAAGTTTTCATCTTTGCTGAGTTTCTTGAATTCCCAGCATTCTTCATTTAATCAAGTCATATATTCATCTGTGAATATATTGCCATGTTTAATTGCCACATAGACTGACTGAAAGATTCGTTTCCATCAGCTTTTCCCACATTTGCAGGCTATTTATAGCAAGAATACAGTTTTATATTTTAAGAACCATTTTTTTTCGAGCTAATAATAATTTCATAAAAAAGTATTACTAATTAACACATAGCTGGATGGAGGAGGTGGATGCATAGGTTTCTCAACTGTATCTGCGCGTAAATGAATATAACGAACCGAATTGGAACTGAAACTCGGCCCTCCAATTAATAATTCTGAACCATTATCCGTTACACCACCTGCACATCCAAGCTTGCTATAGCTGATTTTCTTGAAGCAGTCATCCATCTAGTTAATGACCAGTCTCGATGTTATTGATAATACAGAAAGCTGTGTTTTAAGGCGAGAGAGCCGTAAGCATTGCCATATAGCTTATTAGATAATACACAACATCCAAAAGTTATTTCATTGTGTCTATAATATTTTCCAATCGCTTCAAAATTCGCTTATATTCCTGAAGGCATTCTTTACTATTTGTATAACTGTTCTGATTTCTGTGCGACGTTTTTCGTCATTTACATGTGGGAGGACTTCTCGTTCTTATTTGATTAGCAATTTAATAATAGATTACGGCAATAACCAAATACATGGACAAGAAATATTATTAATGTTTTGGATTTTTTGCGTCAAATAGTTTTTTTACTGTTACATTTTGCTGTAATTCATGGAGTCTACCTTCTTGCAGCAAGTAGTTACTCTTCACGTTTTCTTTTTCTACATTGTCCAAGAAATATTTCAGTTCCATTTTTTATCTAGAATCAACACAGCATTGTTAATAAGATTATATTCACCGATAAGAAATCCTGGTCGGACTTCTAGTTATTTTAGAATCATCACAGTTTTCTACCATT